TATCATTCACTCTCTCCCAGCGCAGCTGGGCTCCCCAAAGGAAAACTAGCTAGTTCGTAACCTGACCATTAGCATTTGCCATCATACTGATTGAAATGTGTCTCCTTTAAAGGCACAAATATGCCAACTACTTTTGGACATTTGGCAGGAGGGTACGACGGCCAGTATTATGGGTATCTTTGAGTGAAGTCTTCTCCATGGACATGTTTTATAGCTGTTTTAAAAAAGAAGGGATCATGAATCCAGAGGTATTGTATTTTTTTTCTCCTTTTAACTTCTTGGATGCTCTCTCTCCTATAACTCCTACTGTAAAATATTTATGACATATGGCTTTAGAGTAAGAGGTTTGGTAACAGCTTTTAACTTTAAGGCCTTGCATCTTCTCAAATCATCATACATCATTAAGTTTCAGTGTACAAGTGATTAACTCTTAATTCTATAGGTTTAAAAGAACCTACTGCATTTTCTTGCTTATTAACTGTTAGGGTTCCAAAGAGCAGCAGTTTCCCCCCTCCCCAACAGGGACCTCACCTTGACCTTTGGAGTCAAGGGAAACAAACTCTGCTGAGAAGCAGCCTGCCTTTCCTTTGACCTCCAAAGATAAGCAGATTCTACCTGATAACCAGAGATTTTAGAAGCTGTTTTTCTCTCATCTTAAGAGGGAAAAAGTAAACACTTCCACACCCTAATCCTACCTGCTTCCCCCTCCCTGATTTCTCCCCCAAACATTCCCCCTTCCACACCCTAAAGCCCCCATATATAAAGTCCCAGCTCACAACCCGTGGGCAGACATCTTTCCCTTCCCTGCCCTTCCCTGTCATCTTTCCCTTCCCCAAGGGAAAGGTGCCCCGTGCGAAATAAATCTGTATCCCACTGAGAATTCCAACTGTGCCTCGGTGCCTTCCTCCATGCCACCCGCTCGCTCCTGCCCACTCTCTACCTATCAACCTCTACTTTAATAAGCTCAGGTTCCTTATTAGTGTCCTAAATATTTGTGAAACTGCATATTATTAGCATTGTCAGATAACATAAGCATGTGCCATCTGATATATGGGACAGATACTAAAAGTTTTGTTTTTGTTTTTTCCTTTTCTTCCTCTTTTTGGTCTTTTTGAGATGAAATCTCCCTGTAGCCCCATCTGACCTTGAGCTCACAGAGATCTCCTGCCTTTCAAGTGCTAGGATTAAAGGAAAAATTCTCTGAATTGACCACTCGGGACACTGAGACTCAGGAAAACTTAACTGCTTTATTGAAACTGACTGGCCGGGGAGGCAAGCAGGCTCAGGAGCTGCACTGGGACCCAGAGCCTTAGAAATGCAGGGTTTTTAAGCACAAAAACTGCAGAGCCAGGGATTTCTATAGAAACCATAAACAGATGCACCAGGAAAGGGTTCAAACAATCTAGGGCTGATTTCCAGAGCCTTAACCTATACAGCCATTGGCTAGCTTACCTGGGGCAGAACGTTCTTCCTCTTTTACCCTGGACCATTTCCACTGAAACCATAAAGAGATGTACCAGGAAAGGGTTTGAACAATCTAGGGGATTTCCAGAGTCAGGGGGAGGGCAGCTCTTTCTCAGAGGACAGGGAGGGGGGTCTGAGGGGCACTCTCCTTCACCACTGTACCTGGCTAAGTTAGTACTTTATTTGAAATTCCTATTAGCTTTTTCTATGTGTGTACACGTTTGTTTCTGTGCAGGTGCATGTGTATGCATGTTTGTGGAGGCCAGAGGTCAACCCCAAACATCATTTCCCAGGGGATGCACACCTTTTAAAATTATTTAAGTTATTACTGTGTGTCTGAGTACTTGCCAAAGCATGCATACAGAGATCAGAGGACTTTGTGGAGTAGGTTCTCTCCTTCCACTTTTACATGGTTCCAGGGATTGAACTCAGGTTTCCAGGGTTGCACAGCAATTGCCTTTACCCAGTAAGCCACCTCACCAGTCCCACTTTATTTTTTGAGACAGAAACTCAGTAGGAATTGGGAATCCAGCAGTTAGACTGGGTTGGCTGGCCAGCAAGCCCCAGGAATCCAGTTGTCTCTGCCTCCCCAGTGCTGGGACTACAATCGAGTGCTACAATGCCCAGCTTTTTACATGGATGCTGGGGTTTAAACTCACATCCTTATGCTTGCACATCAAGTATTTTCATCAAATGAGCCACCTCTCCAGCCCCTTTGCTTTGGTTTTATTGTTTTACTTTCTTTGCTAACTTGGTAAACCCATTTACAAGGATTTAAAGTCCACTAGAAGACACAGGGCATTGATGGGTCTCAGGCTTTCTTGGCACATACAAAGTACAGATTACATTATTTTTCATATTGAAAATGGAAAAGCAGGTGAAAAGCAAGTGGACCTGAGTTCTTTAACACAATTAAATCAGGAAAAATATGGAGATATGTTTTTTTCTTCTATTCCCCACTCTCCAAAGGGCTGAAGCCAGAGTGAGACAGGACTAGTATAGTCCTGGGGCTGCCACTGAAGTCCTTTTCAAACGGCTAGTGTGGATCACTCAGCAGCCTTTCAGACAGGACATGCGGAGGACCAATTAATCATGTTTCAAATTATATGATTCTATGTGTGTATAACACACACACACACACACACACACACACAAGTATTTGTCTTATACAGAGCACAATGATTTGAGGAAATTTTTTAATTTAGGACTTAGCAATTTGGGTGTAACATGAAAAACTGCCATGCTTTTCTTTTTAAATACATTTATTTATGTTGATTTATTTTTATGTCTGCATGTAAGTGCACCCGTGTTGTGCAATGTTGGTGGAGAACAGAAGAGGGTGTTGTGATACCCTGGAACTGGACTTACAGGATTTTTTATCTTACTGAAACAGGGTCTCCCTGTAGCCCCAGCCTGGAACTATGTGGACCAGGCTGCCCTCAAACTCATAGAGATCTACCTGCCTCTCCCTCTCAAGTGCTGGGATTAAAGGAGTGTGCCACATGTTAAATGGCATGTGGGTGCTGGGATTCATACTTGGGTCTTCTGCAAGAACAGCCAGTGCTCTTAACCACTCAACCATCTTTCTCCAGTCTTAAATATAGGTTTTGGGTGTTTTTTTTTTTTTTTTTTTTTTTTTTTTTTTTTGGTCTTTTTGAGGCAGGGTCTCCCTGTAGCCCTAGCTGGTCTGGAAATCACTATGTAGACCAGGTAGACCTTGAACTCAAAGAGATTCGCCTGCCTCTGAGTCCCAAGTGCTGAAACTAAAGCCGTGCCCCACCATGCCCAACCCAATAATAACTTTTTAAAATCCATCAATTATGATTGATTTTAATATATACTTATATGTGTGTACGCATACCTGCACACATGGGTACAGGTGACCTTGAGGACCAGAAGAGAACATACCTGGAACAGATTGTTGTGTGGGTGCTGGGAACCAAACACCCTCTGGAAGAGCAACAAATGCTTTTAACCACTAAGTCCTCTCTCTAACCCCTTATAATTGTAAAACAAACAAAAAGAGTCATAATCAGCCACATACCTGTAATCCCAGCTACTCAAAGAGGCCAAAGTAGGTGAATTGCTAAGTTGAGCACTTTAGTGAAACCCTGTTTCAGAACAAAAGGACTGGAGTTGTAGCTAAAAAGTAGCATTACAAGTCTGGTATGCAGAAGGCCCCAGACGTTATCTTAAATCTTGTTAAAATATTGGGTACTAGGCCAGGTATGGTGGCACAGCCTTTAGTTCCAGCACTTGAGAGGCAGAGGCAGGCATCTCTGTGAGTTCCAGACCAGCTGGAAACCCTGTCTCGAAAGACCAAAAAATAAATATAATTTAAAAAAATATAGTATTCTCACTGGTTTAGAATTGGAGCCTGAAAAGCAAGTGGTATTATGTGTCCAGTAATATCAGAAACCAAAATGTTATGTAAATTTCATACCAAACTGGATGTATGGATTTGTAGCTGGCTACGAAAAGCAATTGTAATCCATACAAATGGAGGCTGGAGAGATCGTAACAGGGTCTTGCAGGGAACCTGGGTTGGGTTTCAAGGGATGATGTGCTCCCTCCTCTGGCCTCTGGGGGCATTGCATGCCAGGTGCACTTACATGCAGAAAAAAAATATACATAAAAAGTTTTTTTTTTTTGAGACAGGGTCTCCCTGTAGTCCCAACTAGCCTGAAACTCACATGTAGACCAGGCTGAACTGGAACTGAGATCTGCTTGCCTCTGCCTCCAAGTGCTGGGATTAAAGATGTGTACCATCATACTCAGCTACATAAAGTTAATTAAAAAAATAAAATAGGGACTGGAGAGATGGCTCAGTGGTTAAGAACACTGGCTGTTCTTGCAGAAGACCCGGGTCTGAATCCCAGCACCCACATGGCAGCTAACAACTGTCTGTAACTCCAGTTCCAGGGGATCCGACAGCCTCTTCTGTCTTCGCGGGCATTCCATGACATGCATGGACTTACCTATATGCAGGCAATACACTCATACACATAAAAATAAATAACATAAAAAATAAATTCGGATGTCAATGTAAAAATCATAGTTGTAAGTACTAACACCTTAAAATAGAATTTTATTATTTAGTAACATTAATTTTTGTTTTGGGGTGGTTTTATTACAGTTTTTGAGACAGGGTCTCTCTATAGTTCCAGCTGGTCTGGAACTACGTAGATCAGGCTGGCCCCAATCTCACAAATTCACCTTCCTCTGCATCCTGAGTTCACATTCTTAGCACCTGCATAAAAAGCCAGGCATCTGTGGCACACACCTGTAATCCCACTGCTAAGGAGGTGGAGACAGTAGGATCTCTCTGAGCAGTTCAGCCAAATTGGCTCAGTGAGAGACCTTATTTCAAAAATAAGTTGACAGGTTAGAGAGGGGACTCAGCTACTAATGGTAAGCTAGGGAAAAAGACCCAACCTCTTCCAGAAAAAGTGGCTTAACTATCATATCCTTTAGCATTACAATCTTTCTTAGGGTAAAAAAAAAAAAAAAGCAAACATTTAGATTAAACAGGCAAATTTTAATATCAAATGTAACAATTCTACAAAAACTTAGCAGTATTGTAGTATTACTACCTATCTTAGTCTTTCAGAGCTTTGGGCAGAGAGCATCTTAAGGCATCAAGTACAATGAATCTTTCTCATCTCGAGTGCCAGTTCTTCCCAATTTTCCTACAAAATGCTTTTTGTTTTCTTCTTTCTTCCCACTGCAGTTGAAGGGCCACTGCTGGTCAAGTAAGGAAGGTAATGTTTGACTCCCCATTCAAGGTGTTAAAGTAATAATGCAAAGTAAATAAAAATAGCAGCCATAAAAATCTGCATGGCATTGCATCCAAGTACAACTTGAGTAACAAAGAAATATTAATCAAATCACTTTCTCCTTTGGGTTACATGAGGCAGCAGTACTAGCTAGCTAGTGTCTAATATTGCACTTTGTAGCATAAACATAGCTAAACACACAGTGCTAAACACTGACAGCATGGGTACCTGCTCTAACTCCATCAGTGTTTACCTTTCAGTCCAGCATGCTGACTACACTTCTATGCTTTTAAAAGTTTTATTTGACAGTTAAGGCATTAGAGAAAAAAGGTTAAGGCTATCTTAATATATACAAGCATTCACTTAGGTTAGTATATTGTTCTCCAGAACACACTGTTCAAAGTCTTATTTTGTGATATTAAAAACTATGGAATTTTTCGTATTAAAGTCCAAACCATCAACGATGAAAAAAGTACAAAAAATAATACACATGAAGCCACAGCCTTTACACTTTAAACTAGAAATTACTATGTGTAGCTGCTTCATTTTTGGTTTCAAATTTTGGCCACTACTTCATTCTTATTTACAACTGGTACTTGCTGAGAAAAATATTCAAATCCTTTAACTACACATGTGTTATGGAGGGGGTACCTTTTCTTTTAAATTACACCTTAAAGTGTTATGTGTGTGGGTCAGAGCAGGGTGCTGGAATAGAACCCAGGGCCTCAAGCATGCTAAGAAAACTCTCTACCAATGAGCTACAGACCCAATCTGCCTTAAGTGTTTTAAAAAATTTTCAAATTCGTTCTTAACTATAAGGCATCATGATAGCTTACTGAAGAAAACTTAAAATACTGGGAAAATACTAGTTTTACTTTGTTCTTTTTCTTAATTTGGGATTTAAGTATTCCAAGACCTTATACTTAAATTACTTAGCAAGAGGACACAGCTGTACAGAAAACAGGGAGATGGAAAGAGTGTGAATACACATAAAACGGGAAGCTGCCGTGGCAGTTAATGGTGGAGATGGTGGACACTAGTGGAATATTTTTAACTCTAAGACTTAAACTTAGGAAATACCTGATGCTGCTTTAGCTGAAAGAAAGACATTTAAATTCAATTTCACATTTTAAATGCTTATTTGCACTCAGCAAGGAGCCAGGTACTTGCTATTAGTATTTGGCTTCACTGGCTCAATTTTTGTCATTCCACCAAAAAATAAGGCACAGGCCCATGGTTCAATCATGTTGGCTGAAAATACTGCAGCCCGAGTGTAGACAAAAGTCCCCTGAAATTGCTTGAAGTTTTCTTGTGTCTGACAGCTTCAGGATCACCATACATCTTTCAAACACTAGGGAAAAGAAAAAAAGATTTATTACAGTCTCTAAATTTAATTTTTTAAATCACTAAAAGATTAGCATCTTTTAGATTTGGAGTCTATATGACAGCATTTTCCACAACACCCTTCCTTCTGTATTACTGAGTGTGTTTAACATGTATGATTGCATCTCCCAAACTCAACTCAGCTCCATTATCCATTCTTTAGTCTGGGTCTTCAACTTACCACAACTCTCTCCTGGTATTGAAAGTTCAATATTAATAACTTTAAATAGGGACTGGAGAAATGGCTCCATGGTTAAGAGCATTTACTGGTCTTCTATGACCAAAGTTGGGTTCCCAGCATACAAATGAGGTGGCTCACAACCATCTTCAACTCCAGTGGATCAGACACACTCATCTATCTTCCATCAGAGGCTCCCACATACACATGTCATATATTCACACAGATACACACACAAATTAGAATAAATCTTTAAAGATTAAAAAAAACTTTAGATGGACATGGTGATTTAAACACTTAATTTGTTTTTACTTATTTTTGGTCTTTTTGAGAGCACATTTCCCTTTAGCCCCAGCAGCCTTGAACTTGAACTCAGAGATCCACTTGCCTTTGCCTCCCACTGCTGGGATTAAAGGCATGCGTTAAAATCAGTAAACAGCACTGAGCCATGACATAACGAAATATGAACTATAGATGCTGATAAATAGATCATTAGCACTTTAGGTCACCACTCTTTAGATTATCATGCTATACCCATTTGATCAATCAGTTGTGGAACTGGTGACCAAATCCAGGTCCTCACACATGCCAGGCAAGTGCTCTGCTACTAGAATATCCATAGCCCTTATGGCCACTTGAAGATTGGGAAACTGAAGGAGGCATTAAGCTGGCAGACTCAGTCATTCATACACATGGATTCCTGGTCTGTAAATTCAAACAGCTAGTGATAAACATTCAGGAGGAAACATGTATCTATTATAGTCATACACAGATTTCTCTCTTGTCATGATTCCCTGGACCAGGAACCAATGACAACAACCAACAGGTCAGGTGTAGTAAATAGTCCTATGCCCATAATCCTAGCACTAAGAAGGCTGGGGCAGGAGGTTTGCCCCAAATTCAAGGCTAGTCTGGGCTTCACAGCAGGTAGCAGGCCAGCTGGGGCTACATAGCAATACTCTGTCTCAAACAAATAAGCAGTAAAACAACTGTATAATAACATTCACACTATATTGTTAGCTTATGCTGTTTTATTTACATAGCATACAAAAAACTTAAACCATTTGGCATTGTGTATACTTTCACAAAAGGACAAGCAGGTATAAAGATAAAAATGGAAATAGTTTCATCTTTGTTTCATTTGGTCAATTTGAAACATGGTGTAAATCTACTTTAACAACAGATTCTGCAATTGATCCAAATTTAACATCAGGTATTCAAGAAAATACTAAAATGGTAGCTAGCTAGCATTCATGTTTAAAAATGTGGTGTACATGGCTGGAGAGATGGCTCAGTGGTTAAGAGTATTGGCTGCTCTTGCAGGGGGCCTGGGTTTAATTCCTAGCACCCACATGGTGGCTGACAGTCATTTCTAACTCCACTTCCAGGTGGATCCCAATGCCCTCTTCTGTACTCCTGGGCATTGTACGACACAGATGTACGTGCATACATGCAAACAATACACTCATACACATAAAAATTTTTTAAATATAGTTTATAAAATGACAAAATTTTCCTCTTAGTTTGAAACACTACATGGAAAAGCTGCTTCTTGGATACAAATAATGCAGATAAGAAAATCTATCAATTACTATGATTGCATAAAATGGTACTTGTTTAGGCAAAAACACTTTAAATTTTGCATAAACAACTGCTCCTCTCCCAATGGTAAGCCCTAAAGAGACAATTCACCACTGAGCTGAAGGAGCAACTCAGTTAAGCAACAGAGCCCTGCATGATCCAGCACGCTTGGAGATGGTCATAAACCAGGCCAGTGATACTCAGGTCCTAGCTTATGACCTTAATTCTTGGCATTAAAATGAAAGGGTGAATAGCACATGTTGTCATGGGTTCCTCATGAAGACAGATGGGATAAGATCAAGGCCCTGGATCTTTTAAGTCAGTCAAGCCTGCTTATTAGCAGTCAATCAATTCCACCTTCTTATTTCTCAGGCCTTTGCATCATACTAAAATATCATCTTTCTGAAGCAACTAAAATTCCACACTACCTTATAATATGGGAAAGACAAAATAATTAAAAAGTTAAAAGTTTAGCCTTCCTTCTCAAACCTGCTTAATCCCAGTGGTATGCAGAGGCATTTAGTGTTCAACAATGAAGCTACAGCACCCTAACTGCTAGCAGGAAGAGACAAAAAACAGATTAGGGAAAAATGTTTTCTTTTAGCTAAAGTAAAACAGATACTGTGAGAAGGATTATTTTCCAAGTTTTAAATACAAACATTCACAAATCTGTCTTTCCTTTCTAGCAAGATGTATGTACAAACAATGCTTTATTTTGTCATAAACGATCATTAAAGTATTATGTACACAGAAGTTTTTTTTCTTTTCTCATTAGAGACAAGGAGGGACTATGTTGCAATCCAGGGTGAGACTTGCTGGGAACTCACTACACCTTGCCTTTAAGCTCAAAACTCTCCCAAGGACAGAGATTCCAAGTGTGTATGGCCATATCCAGCTGTTGTTCTGGGTTTTGTTTTGTTTCTCTAGGTAGCCCTGGCTGGCCTGGAACTCACAGAAATCCTCCTGCCTCTGTCTTTCAAGTAGAACGGCAAGTGCACACCACCATATTCAGTTTACACTGAAATATTTAAAGATACCTGGATTTTACCAGGTATGAAAACAGTAGCCTGGTCCATATAACAAGACTATCTCAACTAAACAAACAAGAAACAACAAAAGCCTACAATTCTATTTTGTTTCTTTAAATATAAGGTTTGGGGCTGGAGAGATGGCTCAGTGGTAAGAGCACTGACTGCTCTTGCAGAGGACCTGGGTTCAATTCCCAGCACCCACAAAGAGGCTACAAACTGTCCTTAACTCCAGTTCCATGGGAATCTGAACCCCTCTTCTGACCTCCATGGCATTGCATGACACTGTACTCATACATGCAGGCAATACACTCATACACATAAAATAAAAATAATAGGGGCTGGAGAGATGGCTTAGCAGTTAAGAACACTGGTTGTTCTTGCAGAAGACGTGGGATAGAATCCCAGCACAGCACCCACATGGCAGCTAACAACTGTCTGTAACTCCAGTTCCAGGGGATCCGACAGCCTCTTCTGTCCTCCGCCCGCACTGCACAACACAGGTGCACTTACCTACATGCAGGCATAACACTCACACACATAAAATAATAAAATATTTTTAAATATAAAGTTTTCCTCTATAGCATAAAGTGGACTCACTAGGTAGCCCAGGCTGGCCTTGAATTCTTGGCAGTCTTCATGCTTTAGTCTCCCAAATGTTGAGAGATTATGACATGAGTCATCACAGCTGACCTTTTTTTTTTTTTTTTTTAAAGATTTTACTTTAGTTTTATTTTAAAAATTTATTTTATGTGTATCTTTTGCCTGTATGTAAGTGCAACATGTGCATACAATGCACATGGAAGCCAGAAGGTATAGATACAACTAGAGTTACAGATGTTAGCTGCTGTGAGGGTGCTGGGATTAGAACCCAGGTATTGTGCAAGAGCAGCAAGTGCTCTTAACTACTGAGCCATTTCTCCACTCCCCTGGTCTATTTCCTTAATTTCCATGCATAAAAATTTATTATTTTGATTTTATGTATATGAATGTATTCCCTGTATACATATAAGTGCACCTGTGTCATGCAGTGCCAGTGGAGGTCAGAAGAGGACACTGAATTCCCTTGGAACAGGAGTTAAGGTCCTTAGCTGCCACGTGGATGCTGGAAATGAATCTGGGTCCTCTTAAGAGCAGCCAGCACTCTAAATTAAGCTGAGCCATCTCTCCAGTAGCTCCATGCAAATTTTCTTCTTTAGTGGGAGGGTCTTTTTGAGACAGGGTCTCCCTGTAGCCCCAGCTGTCCTGGAACTATGTAGACCAGGTTGGCCTTGAACTCACAGAGATCCACCTGCCTCTGCCTCCCGAGTGCTGGGATTAAAGGTGTGCGCCACCACGCCCGACAATTTTTTTTTAAATTTTATCTGTATGAGTGTATTGCCTACATACATGTGAGTTCACATACATACTCTCCAGTCCCTTTTTTTTGAGACAATGTATTGCTTTATAGCCTTGACAGGCCTAGAGCTTGCTATGTAGAGCAGGCTGCAATTTTTTTAAGTGTAAGTCATCTCTTGAATTTTCTTTTTTAGCTCAGTTTCTTTCCCCTCATGTGTAATATAAAACCTGTAATTCAGCTTCTTTCATCCAGAAAATTGGCATTTTTTAATTTAAAATCAATAGAATCAGCATTTATTTAACTATTTCTACCACTAATATAAATACTACATAGGGGGCTGGAGAGATGGCTCAGCAGTTAAAGAGCATTGGCTGCTCTTGCAAAGGACCCAGGTTCAGTCTAACACCCACATGGTGGCTAACAACTGTCTGTAATTCCAGTTCCAGGGAATCTGATGCCCACTTTTGACTTCCGTGGGCACTGCATGTCACAGGTGCACTTATATACATACAAACAATACACTCGTACACATAATAAAACCTTTTAAAAATATACAAGATAAAAATTAAGTACTACATAGAAAAGATAGTTCAAAGAAACATTTCTTGCCTAAAATATATCTACTAGTAAGGTGGAACTTTGTTATAAACTAAAATATTGACCAGTCTATAGATCCAAAATAAAAAAAGTTTATTATACATGGCAGATATCACTTTCCATCACAAGAAAAAAACGAAAAAAAACAGCACCCAAGATCAACCATGAGGGAGGGGTGCAATTTTCTGAGTGCTCTAGATGAAGAGCTGCCCATGCTAATGCCAGCGACTTGAATTAGACCCAGT